GGTTAGGGTGTTAGGTCTATGCTGCATCAGGGTTGAGGGTAGTCTTATGCAGAGTTTAGATTATGGTTGTATGGGATGGTTTGGACAGGGATGATCCTGTCTTAGGTAGGGGGTTGGATTAAATGACCTCTGGAAATCCCTTCCAGCCCTACTTCTCTGTGGGCGTGTCTACATGTCACCCTACGATGACGTAGCAGCATGCTACAGTGACATAGTGATAGCATGGGTTTACACATGATCAGCAGCTATGTCACCATAGTGGCACCTCCCCCATTGTAGCATGCTGCTATGGTAACATAGTAGTGAAATCTAACCGTGGACCATGCACATGGTGCAGTACAAGCGGTTATGTGCCATGCTTCAGTACTTCCAAAAGGAAGTACTAAAGTACAGCCATGTGTAAATGCACCCTATGGGCATGTCCATACATGCAGCCACCCAGCAGCTCAAATAGAGGCGGTGCAAATTTGAGCCAGGGCCTTTTGCTTCAGTGCATGTGCAGAGGAGGGGGCTGGGGGAGCGAGCAGGGCCAGCGGGGCTCCTCCCATAGTCCTGTCCCCCCTCCTCCAGCCCCCCTGACACCTTACTCATGGCACTGGAGCCCTGGTACTGAACACACAGCCTGGGGCCATGTGTTCAACACCAGGGTGAGGGCCAACCATAGAGATGCTCTGATAGCCAGAGCATCTCCATGGGGGACCCAGCCTTCAGTTGCCTCAGGGCATGGTCCTTTTTTAACTTCATTTTTTTAGACCCCTGGATATCTTGCAGCATGGAGAACACTTTTTTGTTCCCACATGGGCCTCTTGCCCCATCTCAAAGGGGTTTGAGATGGGGCAAGAGGCACATGCACGCTCATCTGGATGAGTCTAAAATTCAGCAGCAGTACTGATAATACTGGTAAGTAGGTAATACAACTGAAGTTTATGAAGTCAACATGTTCTCATTGTGGAACAAGGGATTGGAGCTGTGGAACAAGGAAGATACAGAGCCATTTGCAAGAACACTATTTTAAAAATGGTGTGGATTATCTGAGCCTGTGGGTTATTTCACTGTTTTGAAGAACAGGCATTTTGGAAGGGGTATAGTGTATCAGTGAGTTTATAATAAAAACTCAACAAACTCCTCAGTCTTCCTTCCCTTAATATTATGCTCTGAAATGATTTGGGATTGAGCATTTCCTTTCTTAGAAGCACTAGAAATAAGTAGTCCAGAGATGAGATGCCAGAATGAAAGGACGTATAATCTGACGCAGTCTGGCTACATTTTCTACGTAAATGTTATTGGGGACTAACTTTTATACTTGTTTAAATATTCTCTCTTCAAAGGTTTTATTTTTTCTTAGCTTAACATAACAATGAATACATTACCAAATGTCACACACAATTACCACATTTTACTTTCGCAAGATAAAATCATTATAATTTAATATTGTAAGTATTTCTTCTTTTAAGAATAGGAAACACCACAAATGCTGAGGGAACATTATATGACTTATTAAGACAAAACTGGAACGCTTTTAAGGACGACCAGCTGTCAGTATGTATTCCATTACCTCTCAAGTTGCATAAACTTCATTGTATCATTTTTTTACCTCCTCAGTGCTATACAAGTTTGTAGAGAAAATGATGAGTGAATTGAGCATTCCAGGCTAAACTCATAGTTGGGGATATGTTCAGAAATGTTTCTCTACCCATTATCTTTTGTCTTGTATCAGGGCAGTCCAAATGGTGACCCACTAACAGCATGCAGCCCCATGAGAGGTTAACATGTGGCCTATGGGCTCCTGCCTAGCTGCCACACTGACCACTGCTCTCATGGCTGGGTGGCTGAGGTCTCCCAGGTCTTTCTCCCTCCTCTGGATTCTGACTCCTGCCCTTGCTCCTGGGGGTGGGTCAGTACAGCAGTGGGGGGTGTCCGTGCTGTGTGTGCTGCAGGGGAGGAGCTGGGCTGCCCACGTTGTAGACTGCAGATGCACTGCCTGCATGACACACACAGCCAAGAGGAGGGTGGGGATGCTGTATGCATAGCAGGAGGGAGCTTACATTGTGTACATGGCAGCAAGCAGTTAGTCTGCATATGAGAGTGTGTGTGTGTGTGTGGCTGGGGGGGTGGGTTGTTTGGAGGGCAGTCACCAAGGCTTGTGGCCTATGCTGCATCCAGTCCTCAGCTGTCCAGAAGTTGGACAGCCCTGTCTTATATCATAGAATCACCAGTTGGGAATACTAGAACTAGAATCCAGGGTCACATGGTCTGATACTCTGCACAAATGCAAGATGCAGTATACCCAACCCAGGTAAATTCCTATCCAGCCTTTCCTTGAAAAGCTCCCGTGAAAAACAATCCACAACTTGCCTGAGCAGCTTGTTGCATTGACTCACTACACCTACAGTTATGACTCCATCTTCATGCATCTTTGCACCTAAAGCTACGCAAGGGCTAAAAGTGATGAGCCAAGCACACTAAAAAACACTAGTCATCCCTTGTGTTTCTGACAACTGTCATTGGGGGGGACAGGATATCTCATTACACAGCATTCTTCTGTAAGATCATAAAATCACAGAATCAATGAGTTGGAAGGGACCTAGACAGATCATCCAGTCTGACCCCCCACCACGGGCAGGAATGAGCACTAGGGGTGGGAGGGGTCATAAGACCCCAGCCAGGTGCCTATCCAGTCTCCTCTTGAAGATTTCCAGGGAAGGTGAGAGCACCACCTCTCTGGGAAGCCTATTCCAGGCTCTGGCCACCCTTACAGTGAAGTAGTTCTTCCTAATATCTAACCCAAACCTATCCTCCCCTCAGCTTGTGGCCATTGTTCCTGGTGACTCCAAGGGGGGCCCTGGTGAACAGACTTTCCCTGAGTTTCTGCTGCTGGCCCCCGAGAAGATCATCAACTCCGGTCCCCTGCCATGGGCAGGAGGTAGCTGGACTCAAAGGAGCTCAATGAGGTGTTTGTCCAGCCTCCTCTTGAACACCTCCAGGGACAGCGAGTGCACCACCTCTGTTGGGAGTGTGTTTCAGATTCTAGATACCCCTATGGAAAAGAAGTTTCTCCTTATGTCCAATCTAATTTTTTTCTAAACTAGCTTGTGCCCATTGGACCTCATCCTCCCAAGGGGTGCCTTTCTGAAGAGTTGCTCCCCTAGATCTTGGTGTTCATCCCTGACATACTTGTAGGTAGTTATCAAGTCACCTTTCAAACTTCTCTTACTCAGACTGAAGAAACCCAGTTTCTGGAGTCTCTCCTCATAGGGCCTATCCTCCAGGCCCCTGATCATATTGATGGCCCTTCTCTTTACCTTTCCAAGCTTATCCACATTCTTCTTGAAGTGCAGTGCCCAGAACTGGAGCTGTGGCCTCACCAATGCCAAATAGAGGGGGAGAAGCACCTCCCTGGATCTACTGGCAACACATCGGCTGATGGATGCCAGAGTTCTGTTTGCCCTGTTGGCAACTTCACTGCACTGATATACCAGCTGCTGTGGACAGGATAGAAATGCAACCAAAGTCTAGCTTATCAAACTTTTAAGCCTTTCCAGGTTCACCCAAAATCAATTAAAACTAGATTTGAAATACTGTTCTACACTGTTTACTTGAGCAACCAGTTGATAGATGCATATGAAAAAGACTGACAGACTAGAATTATTATTCTGTTTCTCAAAATTCTTAATACAAGTCTCCTGTATCACCTGAAATAGGATATAGAAAATTCTACCCCCCCCCCCCCAGATTTTCAGGCAAGAATGGCTTTTTCTATTTACTCCATACAATATGAATCCAAACTATTTTCTTTTCTGTGAAGTTCATTTGCATAGAAATCTCGGTTTCTAATCACCAATGTAAAATGGACCAACAATTCCTGGTCTTGGTCCCCTTCCTATAATCTCCATACCTGTCTGTCTACCCCTATATTTTGACTTCTTGGGGCATGAATGTTCCCTGATGTCTGGAAAGCACCCACCCACATCATGGGTCCTATCATTAACAACAACTGAGTTCCTTGTTTCTACAGAAGCCAAAATCTGGATCATCTAAAAGAGGGTATAGATGTTTTTACAACAATTTAGATGTGCTGCTCTAATCTTTTTATGCTGACTTCCTAACCTATCTGCCTCACTCGTAGTTAATGAAAAACTGCACAAGAGGCAGATTAGTTAAACAGTTGACCATGAGTCTGCAGAAACTATTCTGCAAATATTGCCTAAACAGACAAATCATTATTAGATAATAGTAACAATATACTACATCTGTGGGGGCTGACTGTTTTGGCAGCCATGCCATGAACTAGCCCAGTACTTTCCCCGAGGAACACTCTGATCCCCTTCTCCTGCCCAATCTGCTGCTCTGCATTCTGCAAGCTGCTATAGGCGACCAGGGTGGACGACTGGAGACCCCATGGGTTAAAATCCATGGGGAACATGGTACAGGGGACACAACGGTGGGAGTCTACTACAGACCTCCCACCCAAAGTCCTGAGCTTAACCAGGAGTTTGCCCGGGAACTGGCTGAGGCCGCATGCTCCAGGACCATGGTTGTCATGGGTGACTTCAGTTACCCAGACATCTCATGGGAGGATCACTCAGCAAAATCCGAGCGGTCTCAAACCTTCCTCTCATGCGCAGATGACCTCTTCCTGACTCAAGAAGTCTATGGGCCAACGAGAGGCAAAGCACTGCTCGACCTGGTACTGGCTACAGGGGATGACCTAATTGGCAACCTAGTGATCGATGGGAAGTTGGCAGACAGTGACCACGAGCTGATCACCTTCACCATCTACCGTAAAGCTGGAAAGTCAGTCAGCAACACGGAAGCCCTTGACTTCAGGAAAGCCGACTTTGACAAGCTCAGGAGGCTTGTCAGTGAGGCCCTAAGGGACCATGACCCCAGGGAGAGGGGAGTTCAAGAAGAGTGGTTGCTCCTCAAGGGAGTGATCCTCAATGCACAAGCTAAGTCTATTCCATCCTGGAGGAAAGGCAGCAAGAGGGCACAGCAGCCCCCCTGGCTCTCTGGGGACCTAGCAGACCTCCTAAGGCTAAAAAGGAAAGCCTACAAAGGATGGAGGATGGGATTCACCTCCAAGGAGGATTATTCTGCATTCGTCCAGTCCTGCAGGGAGCAAACCAGGAAAGCCAAGGCTGAACTGAACTCCAACTAGCTTTGAGCATCAAGGACAATAAAAAAGTCCTTTTTCAGATATGTGGGGAGCCAGAGGAAAAGCAAGGGCAACATTG